ATAAGTAATGATAAAATCAGTAATATAAACGATTTCATCAATGTCATTACCTCTATGAAATTAATACATACTTTGTCAATCCAAATAGTTATATATATATATATATATATTGGTCAGCATTTCATGCATGTATCCACGATCCTATATGTCTGACTATATACAATGAGCGAAAGGAAAGTTCATCTCAATAATTGACGAGCAAAAGAAAAAAAGGCGGGGAAAAGGAAAGGTCCGCGGATTAAACAGTGGTGGGTGTAAGAGGGAATCAACTCGAACCTCCCTTCAAACCTTTTAAAGTGTTCAACAAAGAGATTTGCAAAACAATTTTCTTATCTCAGTTTGAACGATTAAAAGCATCGGATTTTGAACAAAATTGAACTGAAATGCAACATAACAAACACTCAAATTATATTTTTAAAGGGGATGAATATATTTATAACCCCCCCCCAAACCTCTAACCCCTTAAATTGCTCTGAGCAAAAACAGGTAAAATAAGGGTTATACTTGTATCTACGTATTTGAGATAAAAATTAATTTATTCATATTTTCCAAAAGGATGGGTGCAAAGTAACTTACAAACATAAACAATGCTAAAATAATAAGTGTAAATTGAAATTGTTTCATTTTTTTTTTCTCAATATTTTATTTTTAATTACACCCATCGACACAAACATTGATACCTCTATACTATTCCCTATAATGTGGGTGCATGTCCAGAATTTTTTTTTCCATAATCGTTTACTATGAATCAAAAGAAACTAAAAATAATATGAAATTCGAATTGGAGGTTTTATCATTTCTTTCGAGTTAATTGTTTTTATTTATCTAGATCTGCTTCGTGAAGTTGATTAATCAAAAGATATCATGTTAATAATAAAATTCTACGGGATCGTATTCTTCGTGGGTACAGCGACAAGAGATTTCATTGGAGAAGTTAATTCAGTACGGAGTGAGAAAAGGAATGTGAAAAAAATGGGAAAATAGCCTAATAATTGTCATTGGGTTAAAAAAAACTTATTGAGAAAAAAATGAAACATTTCAATTTGCTCTCTCTCTCTCTCTCTCTCTCTCTCTCTCTCTCTCTCTTAGCGAGAGAGTGCACAATCAATTAACAAATGTCTTATATAAAAAAGAATATTTAATTCAAACCTGGTGAATAAAATCTCTCTCTCTCTCTCTCTCTCTCTCTCTCTCTCTCTCTCTCTCTCTCTTTGGATTTCACATATACATGCAGAATATCTCAAATATCTTTATCAGAAAAATGATTATCGAATCCCAAATTATGACAAAAGGTCCTATACTTAACCGAAAAAATTCACCTTTTGATTTTTTTTCAAAGATACATCGTGCAGGAGGTGGGTGACATTAGCAAATAAGGTGAATAGACAGAAAAAACTTTTTTCTGAAAAATTAAAACGAAAACAGGAGTCCTGGACATTTTTGTTTTAATTTGTTGTCCCCGTGCATGGAACAATCTTTATTTTAAAAAAAAAAAAAAGCTCATTCTGTGGGGAGCGGAAATAAATATACATGTATTGTTTCTTTTTTCATCAAAGTAAAGCAATTTGGTGCATTAATTGATGTAAATGTTTATGTCTACCGCCACTCGAAAATCTGCAAGAGTTACCTATCTTTGACCTAGGAAGCTATGTCATACTGCATAATCAAGACGATATCTTAACTTAATTTGGCCAAGAGGAAGAAAAAATCTGAATGCAATATGTTTATTTTCATTGACATAATTATATTTGCAAATCACTTTAAAAAGTCAAAAATCAAGAAGGACAAATGCATGTAGACACAAAAATATCGGGGAGGGACGAGGGTGGTGCAGTCTTTATGTGTCTATTCCACTGAGTTTTCATTAAATGCATGCGCGTATCTATAGAAAGGGGTTGGGGGACCCCCCCCCCCCCTTGGAATTTGTAGAGTTATTAAAAATATAAATACAAAAAAAGCAAATTAAAAATGACTTTGGACCCCCCCCCCCCGAAAACGTGGACACCACCACGAAATAGTTTTTTTTCACGTTTTGGATTTTGTTGTTGTTGTTGTTGTTATTTTTTTTTGGTCAATGAAATGACAACTGAAGGGGATGTGTTTGCACTTGATATCTAAATATATAAACCAGGGGCGTAGCTAGAACTATGATGAATTTTGATGAAGTATAGGCACAAATTACTCTGTGTGCGACGAGGGGTCCGGGGGCCGCTCAAGGCACCCAGCGGGTCCAGGGCAGCGCCCTTGTAGGGGGTTCGGGGGGGGGGGGAAGCCCCCCCCCGACGGAAAATGAATTTCACGACTTTGAGACCCCTGGGTGACAAATTCTGGGCGTTTAAAATACATTTACAAAATTATGGGTATCTTTAAAATGAAATTTCATATTAAGTAGAAAAGATAAAAAAGTGCAGTCCCCAACTTCTTAACCAGAAATCTTAAGTTAGAAGAGTTTTCATATTCCTTTTCTGCGTAATCAAATTTGGAGAACATGAAGACGAAAGTTATTTATAAAGTATTCAAAAATAATCAGACACAAAACAATGTTTTACAATAAATAATGAACAAATATAATTTTTTTAATCAGAAAAAAGCTACCCACAAAGAATTTTTTTAAAAAGTGGTAAATTAGTGTGGAGAACCATAAAAAAGTTAATTGCTGTTAATTCAAATTAATTAATTATTGATTAAATGACAATTAATACCACGTGAACGTCAGGGGAGTTCTATATCTCTATTTAATTACTTGCATATAGAAATTTTAAAGACATTTTATAAGGAGTTCTACAGTGAAACAGCCGGTTAACTATTGCAGGTTAAATTTATTACTTTGCACAGATCGGTGGTTATTTCTCTCTATCAGTGGCGAAAATGATATTTAGTCTTTTATTTTCTTTCTTTTTTACAGTTTTGTTTCTAATTATTTTTTTTTTTTCTGAAAAAAATTAAGTGTAGGCACGTGCCTTAAGTGTCTAATGGCAGCTACGCCACTATAAGCATATCAAATATACAATTCATCCCATTTTTTGAAATGATAAATAAAAAGTCCTGTAAATAAAAGTGAATGTACATTGAGGATGTTCGTTTTTGATAGGGAGTGATTCTGGGCCTATTATATATGCAAAAATTAGAGGAAATAATCGAAATTATAGAATGAAAGTCACTTACATGGTAGAATAAAAATTAATTAAACATAACCTTTTTTATCTAATGTAAGTTTATTCCGATTACACGATTACAAACTCAAAATTTATATGCATTTGAGATTTTGTCTTCAATCTTTTCAGAGAACCCATAACATATTTAGGAGCATTGTCCAACCTTGTGTAAAAAATTAATACTTTCTTTAAACATACCTTATTAAACGCAGCGGAAGGTAACTCCTATTGTTTATTAAACATTATAAAGAATTATCATTGGTCGAGTTGTCTCTCGTTGAGTACTGCCACGATCCTCTAGCCATGTGACATTTCAATACTTTACATTTAAGTTCTGCACATACATGTACAATGCCAAAGATTAATGCATGATTTCCCACACTAAATTTTACATCTTTCCATTCTATCATTTATAATATTCCTGAATAGCTTTATTTTCTCTGGCTATCCTTAATTAATTAAATAAATGAAATACCAGCTAGAACTTTAATTAGAGCTGAAAAGCTTATATTATGCTGATATTGATGAGCATTTATTATTATTTCATTAATCCTGTTAATAAGTCAACTATTTCTATCACAAATCTCTCTCTCTCTCTCTCTCTCTCTCTCTCTCTCTCTCTCTCGTTCACATTCTCTTTGATCCACCGCCAGTAACTCTGAGCAATATTTACCTGAAAACCTATTATCTCAAACATTCAAGCCGATTACTTGATTACACGTAAGTTAACGGGTGTTTCTATGGATACGAATTACCTGCTTTTCACGGTGTAATTGTGTTTAGCTGTCAGGGGTGTCGGGATGTTTGTTAGTACACTTTATCAGCCGCCATATGTGAATTGTTACTGGTAAACGCTTCATAAATCAAAGCAATGCCAGAAACTCAGTTAAATTTTAACTGATTCTTTTTGCGAAAATTTAAAAGAAAAAAAGGGATTAACATTAGAAATGGATTCAAATTAATATAACTGAAACGCAGACGTGGAATGGAAAGGTATAAAGATAAATTTACCCCCCCCCCCCCGCAAAAAAAAATTAATAAAAAAGAATAGAATGAAATGTTAGTAGAAAAAATTAGAAAATAGCCAAATAAATGAATACATACTATGCGTATGTGAGCTGATTCTAACATCATACGATATTGAAAAGAATTAGTCATTGTTCATGATCGAGTCAATTTAAAAACATAAAATTTCGCCCAGTATCATTAAAAAAGTTTTAAAGCCAATTACCGTATCACTATGAAATTGAATTAACTATTTGCCATGTCAAGATTCACTTTAATGTGTCTATACAAAGTTCATCGCAGGATACCTCCTGTCGTTTGACAAGTGTCATTTCAATGTCAGATCCCGTCGATGGCCTCATGTCTGACGCGATGTTTATCGTGTTGACTGTTGTTGCCCTGTGTATCGTGTGTAAAATCACCCTATGTCATGAAATTTTCATCGATTAACATGTTCCTCCAATTCCACTTAAATACGAATAAACTCACCAAAATATAGGCCTAGTTTTTGGTGTTTTAGTAATAGCAATATTTCGTATGAACTGGGTTATTTCGACAGATTGCCTCATGTATTAATATTCTGGCATGTTCGAGTGTTTTTATCATACGTGTCTAAATAGGTCAACAGCGTAACTACAAAGGAAAATAGCGGTCACAGTTGAATAGTAAACAAGTGTGTTGTGACGTTTAATTCTAAAATTAGCGGTTTCCATATATGGAAGGGAGCTCATTATATCCCATCTTTTCATTGGTCGAGAATTTTCCGATTGTGAGGTCACAGAGATTGACGTCACGGAACTAATAAACCAATGTACACAGAGTAGTCGCCATTACTGGAGAAGCGAACAAACAAAGAAGACGCAGAAAAGCTCTCTGTCGGTTTTAAACCGCCGCAGTGCATATAACCAGTCTCAAACCAAAAAAATTGAAAAGAATCCATCGAAAGAAACTTGAAGAACTACTTCATTTATCAAAATTGGTAACGGTTATCGAGAAATTTGAAGAAATATTTCACCCCCAAAAAGAACAATCGTGTCTGTGAACAATGAAAAAAGAAGTCAAAAGTGCTGTTGATTTTCTGGCAAAGATTCTTCGGACTTCCAAGTATGTGAATGAACAGCAAGTTAGTATTTTTAACGAAAATCTGCAGAATTTATTATGTGCTAAATACGAGAATCATTGGTTTCCCTCCAAGCCAAACAAAGGCAGCGGGTATCGATGCATTCGCATCAACCACTCCAAGGACCCTCTCATTCTTCAAGCAGGACTTTCATGTGGCCTTAGTGATAACGTCTTATTTTCCATAATCCCTAAAGAACTTACCATCTGGGTAGATCCCTTTGACGTGTCCTACCGCATAGGAGAAAATGGCAGCATCGGAGTGCTCTTTGAATCGAACAACACTAGCCAAAGCCAGTCATCTCACTCATCTTCATCGGTTTCATCTGACATGATGTCTTTCTCAGCCAATTCATGCAAAGGACAGTTTTTGAACGAATTCCCAAGAGATATGGGTTTCAAACAACTTGCCGCATACGTCTACAGTTGATTGCGATGTCATTTTTTGCCAACTTCATCGCACTGCCAGTCATCTGTACATAATTTTCACGGATAACGACCTATTTTATTGTTATAATGGACTTTGAATATGGGAACAATTCTATTTTTTAAAAAGAAATTATTTTTTTTCTTTTTACATGTTAAGTATTTGAAAAAATGTGTTGTAGATTTTGATGTAGTGCTAGGCAAATTAATTCCATTGTGTGTGATATTATTTGAAGGGCAATATTTTTATGAAGAATGAATTTGAATTTTTGAGAATGTGCATGAATGGAGAGTTGATATCTACATCATATGAATTTTATACTGTAGATCGGGTAATATCCTGCAGCCATGAAATGGGACTCGTAGGGTTGTTTTTTAACTTGCAATGTCACTTATTTTTAAGTGGTTGAAGCATTTTTAAGTCTTTCATGACCGATATGTGTCCCATTTTTGATCTCTATAGTGTATGTACATGTATTTTGTTTACCCAATTTGTATGAGTGAACAGTGAATTGTTTCCAAGGGGGCATTGTATAGAAATATATATTTGCTCCTTTTAACAGGTGCATAATTTCTAAGAAATGATGAAAAATAAAATTTTAAAAAAAATGTCAAAATGTCGGAATAAATTAACTTATATGTAGCAAAATACATGAATCTTATGTCATTATTTCAGAAGAGGAACAATTATGGTGAATTAAATTGAGTGGGAAGTTATACAAAAAAAAATGAATCTTAAAGGTTGGAATATGAACTATAAAGGTTGGAGTATCATTGGTGAAGTACATGTTTCTCAGTTATAATGTGAAGAAAAATGGAGGTGTTATTTTGAATCAAAATGTGACAAAACAGTGTTGGTTATTAAATGCGCGGTCAAAATATCAAGTCTTTAAATACTGATATTTTGATATTATATATATTACCAAAAAAAAATGCTGGATGTTTATGAAGTGAGAATTATATGGTGGAAAAGGTGTTTGTGTGGTAAACTGAAGGATTGTACAAATGTGCATAGATGTTAGCAATCTATAAACAGGATGTTTGCCTCCTGGTAAAGAAAAAAAAAAAACTGGTATAACATAAAAAGAAAAATTGTACAATGATTCCCCTAAGTCCTAATAAACCATTCATAATTTGGATTTCTAAAACATAATTAGGCATTTAAGATAATTAAATCCTTTGAATTTTGTGTAATGTTGCACAGTCTTGCTCTGACATGTCTGTTCATTTAAAGATCTTTCTTTCAAGCTTTAGGAATTGAATATATAGGAACAATAGATAAAGTCATGAAGCTTAAAATCCCCAAATAGTTATACTGTATTGTTAAGGAAGTTCTACCAATCTGTGTATAGAAATCAGAATAATTAGTCAGAGAAGTTATAGTATAGACTAAGTTGCCCATGTCCGCAATAGGCATTGTGTTGAAAGTACATAGGGAAATGTGACTCATGTAGTACTTGCAAAATAGAATTCTAAAACTTTGTATTGCAATGACTGCTCTGATATTAGGCAATTTCCTAGGACAGATAAGTGGCTTTTGAAAATGGACGATGTTGTAATATTTGACTGTGTAGGAAATGATTATTTTTTCCATAATTTGATCTGAAATTCTGATAATAAAGCCATAATGGTATTGGTTTGGTGGTTGTATAAACAACATTGGAGATGATAAATAATTATTAAGGGAACTCTGACAATTAAAAATTGTTAATTAGCAGAAGACACAGATATGCACTTTATAGACTCCCCATTCCAAAATTCAAATGGATTGGGAGGAAAGATGGTACTTAAAAAGGTGGGGTTGCTAAAGATATTTTCCTCATACCCAAACCCGATGAGTTCTTGCATGTCAGATCATTTTGAAGAGGTTAATGAAATTATGTCAAATAATTTCATTGTCTTTACTGATCATTCCTTGCCATTTTTTTAAACATGTTAAAACAAATCATTGTGAGAAATTTTGAGAGTTTGAGCTTAATTAATAAGCACCTGGTGTTGGGGGGGGGGGGGGGGGGGTCAGGTTTATCCTATTCTTGTTCTCTTGTTTTAATTTCTTTAAATAAAAAAAACAAATAAAAGTGAAATAATCCCTCAAGAGAGCGGTTTCAGACAGTTGTATGAGATCCTTTATGGTCATATAACTCCATTAAAGAGTGCTTAAATTTCCTGTTAACGACCGAAAATAGTGGAATGACTTAGTGCAGCTGATATTTTTCTAATGCTACGCTTCACATTACACGTCTGTCCCAAAAACTCCGGTCCGCCTGTCAAACAAGTAGCTCCTTGTACAAGGAAATATAGGCTTGCTGTGTCACGATGTGATGAATTATTCATGAACCGTTTTACTATACAACTTTATATAGTGTCTATGTGTGCCTACTCCTAAATGATCTATGTCTGTAGGTTTCCTTTTAATATTTGCACACGTAACTTACATAAAAATGAAAATATTTACCCTAATTTGGGGGCCGGATAGGTAGCAAGAGATGCTCGTGTGGTTCATGCACGTGCAATGCCGTAACAATCATTGAGTCAAGTGAGGCAAATGCCTTTCTGATTTTTTAAAGTAAAACAAAATTACTACTTGACAACAAATTTGTGTCATTGTAATTAATCAATACTATCTGCACTATGATGAGATGAGGCTTGAACTGCAGTATTGAGAGAGCCCTTTTTGGGGTGGTAAACTTGACATTTCCAACTATATACGTATTTTCTTTTTTATTTACACTACTTGGAAATGTTTCTGATGAGTTTATCTTATTAACTGACCTATGTCACATTCCATTTGATTGTGTAAAATTGCATGGCATACCCAAAAGGGCAGAATCTTTTCCTAATGTCAGTCACAACATGTTTGCTGTAGACTATTTCCATTGCAAAAATTATCAAAACTTTAAAAATTTAAAATGATGTCCTTTGCTAAAACCAAGAAATTTTTAACCCCCGGCACTGACTCGGACCGGATTTGCTGAGGCCATAGACCCACCGAACTTCCCTTGTCTCACTAAAAATTTGGGCCTAGTTACGACCTTTACGTGCATTAGAAAAGAATCTTTGCTCTTTTATCATACTGTAATTTACTAATAATAATTATTGAATTATTAGAAAATGTAATGAGTACTGTACTCGCTAGCAATTAAAAATTGTAAATTAGTGAAAAAAAACATGCGCGGTTTTTCAAAGGATATAACGTATAGATGGAGAAACTGGACAAATGCCATTGAAATGATTCCAAAACTCTATATTCATGTATAGGGCAACAAACCCCCACCCCCCAAGTCTGCATTAAAGCAAGGCTATCAAAAAGGTTTTTGCATATTAAAACGTGATTGAATTGATAAGAGCCTTTTTTCGGCTATGTTGAATTGGTATGTATGAAGTGTATTATTGAGGGAGTTTACAAGAGTTCAGTTTCCCAAGGCCAGGGCTATTTCCCGAGGCGAAGCCGAGGGAAATAGTACTTGTCGATGGGAACTGGAATCCTAGGCCTGCTAACTCCCTCAGTGATATACATGTAACTAACTATTTTTTTTTTTGTATAGGGAAACATCAGTAGAGGTATTATCATGTTGTAAATTTTGCGTTTACTGTCCCAAGTATAAATACAAAATTTACAACATGATAATATAATGAAAATATTTAAAATTCCAGTTACCGTAAATGAAATAAGTGTGTTAAATATTTTTTGTTAATTTGTGATTCGTAAAACAAAACACTTAGTACGTGGACGAAGTAATTATCACGGAGAAGTTGCGACTTTCTTTTTTTTTTTTTTAGGGGGGGGGGTGCATTTAATTAGTCGAATTGTAGCTCGGGGTGCTAAAAAATTGAAATATGACGAAACAATTTAATTCAGTATAGTTATGAGTAAATGTACCTGTAGAAATTCGGGAAGGCGGGTATGCATGCGTATTTATAACTAGTGTAAGAATCAAGAAACTCTAGCAATAAGAGAAGGTCTATCCTGATTCAATTTCTGAGTTTACGGGCTAGTGACTAGTGTATATATCAGGAAGGATTAAGACAGTACTCATTTAACGAAAACGCTGAAATGACCAAGATTGTGAATTAGGAGCTGCATTTTCAAATCCATGATGCCCATATTCCTCTGCGTCTCCGCACTCAGAGGTTTGGGACAAACCAACATTGGCGGAAATTTGATTCTGATATAGTTTTGATTCATGATAGCAATACAGGATTGAAAAACGCAAACCCGTAGCCTTGGAGTACCTCTTGTAAATGAAACAGATCTGTATCTCCTATTAGATATTAGCCCCCCCCCCCCCCCTCGAAAAAGCATTTTTAGCATTTGGGAAACTACATATATGTCATCGACCCTCCCATTTCCGGACCCAGCGAACCCCACCCCATTTCCTCTCACTAAACAAAAAGGTTTTCGACTTTATTCACCCCTTCCCGCTTTTATGGTTTTAAGTTGATTGTATTCATCTATCAATGTGGCATCTTTTAAAACGTCTTTTAACCCGATAACGTGTAATATACACAAAATTAATTAAGATGGTATATTTTCGTAGATTCAAAAAAAGTAATAAATTTATAAACATTTTTTCCCTTCTATCATGTTACATCATTGCACCTGAAATATAGATAATGAATTAAAATAAAAATATTGATGTACAATTAAATATAAACGACATGCTTTTCCGGAGACTGTGTAGATGGGGTTTGATATCTTTATTTACCTAGCTGTGCTATCGTCAGATACAAAATTCGAATATATTAAGTTTATTCAACATTTAATATCTCGAGTTACAAAAATGCCGTGTCGCCTCAGAGATTGCATTCAGCATTGCACATGAACACATTGACAATATTATTCAAATAGACTTTAAATTCTAAAATAAACTAAGAATAAAAATTCGAAGAAAAATTGCTAGCTTCTCCTTTTTTCCAAGAAAAAAAAATAGAATGCACATAAACTGATAAAAAATCTGTATGGAATCCATCGTTAAACCGGATCCGTAGGACATTTAACATCTTCAATAATATATGTATGTAATATGACACATGAAATATCATTTTTATTTCAGTTAATTTTTTAAAATGAAAAATTTGAAATAGCATGAATAATCCATTTATAGTTTATTTCTTCATCTGTATAAAGTCAAGACTGTAAAATTTTGTTTAACATCTTTGCATAAAAAACAGTATGCATGCATATGTACATCCTAGACAATCCTATTATCCCGCGAAATCAAAGGAACTCTTCCATTTTAGAAGGCGATTTTAGTCTACATAATCAATGCAGAATGGCGGATGGTGAAAATGTGTACTACAGAGGAGAAGGGATTTGTAATCTTGTTCTAGCCACAGAAAAGGTAATTGTCATTGAAAATGTATGACTAATTTACTAATTACCAACTGCATAATTTCTGTGGAGTTATTTTCAGTTTTAGGAAAATGAAACGACACAAAACATCGTGCGGTTTATTTATGCATGTTGCTTTTATATTCTATTATGCAAAGGAGGCGTTGATGCTTTCCACATGTGGCAATGCATTTATCTGCCAGATATACCGATGAATGTAATATTTCTCTATTCATTAACCATGATATTCTGTCTTTGCCTTTGGTCCTGACATCAGATTGAATTGAATAACTTACAAAAACTGGAGTTTATAAACATGCACATGTGACCACTTATGTTTTATTAGAAAAGTAACCACTTGATACTTGTATTTTAACTTGTTTCATTATAACTTTTCCTGAATGTATTTTGTTTTTGTTTATCAGTACATTTTTTTCATTATTGAGATTTTTCTTGGTGGAAAAATAACACAGTGTTAAATTGGCAAAGGAAATTCATATCAGAATATTGTTAACAGAATCTTGAATCCTCTGTAAATAAACTGTGTAATTGTATGATTTCTTTTTGAAATTCCAGGAAAAACAGGTTTATCGTCTTATGAAAGCTGGCAAATACTCAGGCAAGCAGGGCTGTAACAAAGGACATCGTGCTCAGGTGGTTTGAATTTGACATTAATCATGAACGTTTCATAAACATATCAGATATGCAAAACAATTCTTGTGAAAATATGTTTATTGTAGGAATGTATTCAAATTGTTCAAATAAATAATGTATGACACATAGAACAAAAATAATGTGTGTGAAAAAATGTGAATGATTTGTAGTAGAATCTACAGTCAGGGGTGATACTGAAATCCGTCATTTTTAAAATGACGATTTTTAGTCATAAAATAAAATTTTTATTATGACTTAAACTCGTCATTTTTAAGAAAATGACGAAAAACAGTCATAAAAATTTAGAGTGTTTCTAGAATACCGAGTTACCTCTCTTTGAAAAATGTTAGATCCACCAACCGAAAAAAGGACAAAAAACATCGTAAACAAACTTCATTTCTCTAATACAGTTGACTACAATACTGGTTATGTCGACAGTACAAATTTCCCAAGCAAAAATAAGTGTGGAAGAGTTATTTGTCAATGGATTTATTTGCATTAAATAGGAAAGAAGACGAAAATGACGATATGCCGTCTTTTTTCAAGATGAAGGGTCTGGGCGCACTGAAATATCTCGCTTGTTTTACGGGGCGCACTACTTTTTTATGGCTTTAACTTTTTGTCGAGACTTTTCTCTACAAGTACGTATTCTTCCAGACGGTGTACTATATGTTTTTATAGGTTTAAAAGCCATGTAAAAATGGCGAATTAGTTCTACCAAATTTCGACATTTTACCGCTGAATAATAACTTTCACGTTCCATGTTGATGTTCTAACGCATGTGGTCGGCAGTAATTAGTGACCCGGATGAAATGAAACTTGCGTAAACACTCAGCGGTGAATTCAAATTTCGCTTTTATGTAGCAAGGACAGAAGAATTAAGTTGAAAAAGAAAATATGACGATAGTAAGTCATATTGACAAAAATGACGAAAATACGTAGTTAGTAAATATGACGATTATCCATCATTTTTCAGAAATGACGGATTTCAGTCTCACCCCTGACTGATCTAGAGTGTATATTTAATTGCTGAGATTTATTTATATGTGGTAAAGATTGTGAAGAATTTTTTTTTTATGTTTTAGCTATGAGAAATGAGTGAATAACTGATTGGTTTTGATATTTTTTTTTCATTTTATCATTCTTTGTTTCACTGTTTTTAGGAGAGATCAAAATGGATTCATCAATCTTTAGAAGATAATGTAGAGTATATCAAAAACATAATGGTCCCCCTGCTGACTGATGCTTTTGTGGTGATTCCAGTAAGTTCTGGTCATTTTAATGTGTTATTTATTAATTTCTGGTTCACATGCCATAATATTATGTGCTTGTACACCAAGTCAAGTAGAATTCAATTCATGTACCAGAAGGTGATATACTGGCAAGTCTAGATTACTTGAACATAGTTTATTGCCTTTATACATATTTTATATACCTCAAGGAAGTGATAATAATTTTTCTGATTAACCATAACATTTCACATTCTCTTGAGAAGCTGTCTGTCATCGTGGTCATGATAAAGTAACTTCCAATGAAAATAATGTATTGCTGACCCCCCCCCCCCCTCCCCCTAGTTTAATGCACAAGTGATTTCTAGATTACTTCAGCAGAAAATCTTATATCCAACAGGTTTTATGGAAATCTAAAAAAAAAAAGGAGGGGGGTGTAGGATGCCCTGTTGTAGAGTTGCATTACACTCATGTCAGAATTTAGTTTTTATCCAGTGAGAGTTGCAGGCACTCTAAAATGTATAATCTCTTTTTAGAATACCAGCTGTATAATGTTATCTACCTCACAAGCCACGCTATTGATTCTGTTTTATCAGATATATGGATATATATATACATATCTGACTGGAATGAACAGGATTGTGGCAGCTAGAAAAGCTTCTGGAAACAAAAACTAAATCAAGAATGTTCTAAATATATTAAACATTTTATTGGCTTTAAGCAAAAAACCAGTGGGAATTATTTTTCTCTTCGGGGAAAAATTTGATTTTTTAGTTTTTCTGTAAGGCTTTTGTTTTTTGGCCAGGAGTTCAAAGTTCAGAATTAGACATAATTTGATGAAGAAATGGAGAATGTTCTTCCTGTGGTGTTTCTCTGTCAACGACAGATGTAAATGATTCCGTTTTTATTGCATTGTTCTTTATAACAGCAATGAATCTTTGATCAGTGGGAAATAGTTATATCACTCAGCAATTTCACCCTCTGTTAGTTTCAGGTTAATTTACCAATTTTTGATTTTATCATGGCAGGGGGAAAAAAACAACAAATGGGTAAACAAGTGTTTAGATATTCAGGTTTTTATGAAGTTCTTGATTAATGAGTTAAGAAAATGTTATAGATCAGAATTACTTTGATGGAAAAAGGGGGAAAAGTATAAAATTGACATGAAACTGCTACACACAATATATGGATTTTATTTGGGGGGGGGGGGGGGGTCCAGACCCCATCAAAATCTGAAAGTGAATAAAATTGAACTTAAAAAGGAGTGAAAAGTTGGTAAAGACACATTTTATACATTATGTTACTATACTAAAAGAAAGAGAAATTGTCATGGTATTTATTAATTTAAAATGATGATGTACTCCCAAGCTGAGGCTAAAATTGAGGGAATAAATATATATGATGTCAGATATGATTCTACTCAAGTTTTATGCATTTTCAAATGTAATATTTGCAATCTTTCAAAGATAAAAGTTCCCCATTTCTTTTATTAATATTCTTAACATTATCATAAAAAAATGGGATGGTGCTCATAGTTGGTGACTTTCTGTTTGTTAGTCAGGGTTCGAAATTCACTATATACAACTCGCAAAACACGAGTTAGAATTCCCAAATTGCGAGTTAAAAATTGGTAACTCGCAAAAACTTGCGAGTTGAGTTTTTTTGCATTGAAACTGTAGCAAAATTATATAACGTGACAGAACACAATACTTTTGATTTAAATCAGTAATTTGAATAAAAGTCACACTGTAGTTGTATTTTGTGTATTGTACAGTAGTTACTTTTTCCTTAAGTTACATGTATTTCATTTATATAAATTTAACTTTATATGAAAATTGTGAGTAGTCTTATAAAATTGCGAGTTCACTTAGTTGGTACTCGCAATTATTTGCGAGTTGTAATTTTAGGGAGTTTCTAACCCTGTTAGTGTTTTTTCCATAATCTTTATTTGTTCGTTTTTGTTGAATAATCAAGGTATACTCTTGTTGAGCATTTCCCGTCAGGTCAGACATGCATATAGTTATATAGACAGGTTAAAGGCCAAATATCTGGATGTTTCCAGCTGAGCAATGTGTTTCACAGAGGTGTTTTTTCATACAGTGATTTTTTCACCACATTTTGGGAATGCTTGAATTGCCATTGACAATCGAGCATGTTGATTTGGGGAAAAAATTAAAACTAAAAAACATTGAATTTTTTTTATCTAGCAGAACATGGCACTTAGTTTCTTTATGTACATCTGTATATCATGATTTTTCTCTCTGTTTTTACCAACTTAAAAATTATCAAATCGGCTCAGAAGAAAGTGTGGTAATTGCCCAAAAAATGTGCTTAGTTAAAGTAATTAACTTTCTTATTTCTGTAGTGGTGTTTTTACCACATTTTCATTACAGATCATTTTCCATTTGTATAGTATACTGTTATTTGGGAATATTGGGAAAAATCACCATTTTCTAACACTGCTTTCAGAATTACATTTTGTGTAAGCAAATGAAAGGAAAAAATTGCTGACTAGTTCTATAGATTACTGAAGATTCTGTTAGAAATTTTTAGATATCAAATCAAATAACAGTATGTATCGGTTTTCATCATAAGCACACCTCAGAATCCAATTTGTAAGCTAAATGCATGTATGTATAATATATAAATATTTTTTTTTTTGGTTGTGACTGTCATCTCATGATTTAACATACAATCTAGCAGCTGATCTCTTCAGATACTTGACTTTTATAATTACATTGCTCAGATTTTAAGTCTATATACCAACATTGAGAAATGTGATAGTCAAACAAAATATGTTATTGTACAGATATGTAAATGTCTGTCAGTACATTTTATATGAACATAATGAAAGAAATTAAAAAACCAATACTTCAGACAGGTTATTAAATTATTGATATAGAAGGTTTAGTTTTTGAGATATATTTTTTCTGTACATTTGTTGAAAAACTAATCCAGGAATGAGAAAGTTATTAGAATTTTAATTTATGTGAAAGATTTACTTGTGTTCCTAAGTACATTCACGTTTTTTTGAGAATCTCAGTGTGTGGTTTTACACTATAATTACAGCGGACCTGAAACTTAAAAATGCAGATTGCATGTGCACAATTTTCCAATATTCAAGGTGTGTTGTTAACCACTGTTCAGTCTGCTTTGAGCATCTGACAAAAGCATTAATTAGAATTAATGTGGTTTGATACATGTATTTTTCAGAAAATCCGTGAAATACCCAAAGGGTTTACAGAGAGGATTGAAGAAGAAATCAAACACATTAGAACAGGTGAATATTCCTTATACTGTACATGTAAAGTAGGGGGGGGGGGGGGAGAAGGAGGAATGCTCTGCAGTTATCATTGCAGTTTTTAGGTCAATACAATGATAAAGTACTGAATGAATACAACATTCACCAAACATAAAAAGCAAGGTGAATATTGTACTTCAAGGATTGCTATATTTGACCAAAAAAAAAAAAAAGAAAAGAAGCTGTAATTGTTTTATTACATGATTCAAAGATTAACTCATACAAATTTTTAAGCAAACCTTCTTGGTTGTTTGTGTCTGCTGAAGTTCTAGCCAAATGCAGGGGCACAAATATAATATATCCAATGGTACATGATCAATATGGAAGTTCCAAATCTATATTTTTGATCCTATTTTTTCTTTTTAATGTTATATACACCTGGAAGGTTGGTTGCAGGTGAATATAACTTTTCATGATATGTAGAATATGTTGAATTTCAGCCAACCAGAGAGCTAGCTATAGGAATAATTCAATCATATAAAAAATACTTATGTCCTTCAGATTTTTTAAGTGTTTGGGGCATTTTTCACCTTACCGATATTAACTAAAAAATAGATAGATTTTGTTTTTGAGCGTATTCTCTTGAAATGCGAAGAGCAATTTCGATTACTTCAAGCTTCCCTTATAATATTACTTTAAAACTTGACAGTTAGTCATTTCTTCTATATATTTTTAGCAATAGCATTCTTGAGCATGTTGAAGCGTAAAAGAGGTTGGTTATTTGTCTTAAGTTTGTATTTGCATGCCACGTAAAGAACAAGGGTGCTTAAAAATAATTAGATAAAAAAGATGTATGTATGGTAAAGATCTGTTTATAAGATTATCTTGAATTGTTGAAGAGTTGGACTTTTAAGAAGACATATATACATGTATGTATTTTTAGGTAATTGGGTTGGAATGTAATGTAAATCCTTTGGGAAAGTTAAAATTGTTCCATATACAGATATAAATAAAATGGAAACTTGTATTCATTTGGTAATGGAAACGTACTTATGTGTATATGTAATAATGTCATTTACTGAATATTATTATACCTGTCCAGCAAAAATATAGCAATAATTGAAAAAAAGGAAAAATATCAAGAAATATTCATGACACTCATACTTACTGCTTCTATCAACTCTGAGTCAAATTCCATGGGTAGGTCTTAGAAAAGCTTTCCATGATTGTGATTTAACTTTCAGCTCACAAGCGTGTGCAGGAGGATGATTTCCGAACGGTGGACCCTGCAACATGTTCAGCGCTGGTGCTTCCCGATTTCTGTTATGTCACCAATCTTTCAACAAACACCTGCATATCTTCAACCGCACCCGATGCATTTCCCACCATTAGTGTAGAAATTAAGGTTTGTCTTCCAGATTAAAATCATTTTGTATAAACATCTGCTTCAATATCACACCTACACATGTACTGTTTCAAAACTGTAAAATTAGCAGATACCTGAGTGTTTTGCGTAAAGCTCAAGGATTCCTACTGTGGATGTCCTTAAAATATTCTAATTATCTCTGTCAAAAGAATCTCTGAATTTTGGACATACAATAAAACCTGGCCTGGCCTCTATTTTTGCCTCTCATTTGGTTCCAAACCAAATTTGGCTTGGCCTCAGATTTAATTGGCCTCCATAAAAATTGTCAGCCTCACCTAAAAATAAGTCCTTTAACAGAATTTGATTGATTTTATTGTTTTGGTTTTTTTTTTTTTTTTTTTTTCATTTGGTTTCATTTTTTTCAGAATTAATAAAACATAAATTGTGTATTGATTTGAAAATGTGCACATTAAAATAATTATGTAATACCACCAATCTGATTGATTTTATTTGTTATCTGTTGATTGTTTTCAATTTTGAAGACTATCAAATTATTTAATCAAGCTATTTTCAGTGTTCTCGTACATGTTTCAAGTAATATAGTAAAAACCTTATGTTGATTTCATTTGGTTAGCCATATGTCAAACGTTTTGTGTGAATAAACCTAAACAATAAGTTTTGAGTATTTTCTTGTATTTATAATTTAGCCAAAGAAAGGCTTCATCCCGCTGTCTGCATTGAGTAATGACTCCTCCACATTAAAGACAGGGGTCTGCAAATTCTGCATGCATCAGAGATTAAAGGTAAGAAACCTCCAAGTGTAATCTAGATCAGGATTGTACATCCAAGGAGGGGGGGGGGGGGGGATAAAACCATTTGCAGCTAGTTCGCCTAGTAATTCCCTTTGTGATGCCCTTTCTCTATAACCACATAAAGAAATTATTGTATTTCCAACTCCTTAGTATCTAAAGGAAGAGATTACTTACTGGTGGTAAGTTTGTTGAATAGGTTTATACCATTTTGATTTGTTGAATTTTATAGTTCCCGAGTTCTATAATAAAATTGGAGGAGTATGCAGAGATGACTGTTTATCCATCTGTCTGCCTGTGTCTCTTTTTACATCTGTAGAAAAACAAAGTTTTAAGCTCAGTGCTGGCTTCTCTCAAAAGGTATACAAATAAAACTTATAAATACTTAAATATCATGCTTGCTCTGATTGTGCCCCTGTGAGGAGGGGGGGGGGGGGTCCTATTATAATACTCTTATTCTAGCTGCTTTTGGACAGGATACTATAAAGGACAAAGACCATTGTGCACTCATTATATAATATTTGAAAAGTGGCAGATGTAGATGTAAGAAGCTTAAAACTAAGATTACTGGAAATGGAAAACGAGAAATCTGATCAGATTATCTGTATAACATCATACCTAGCTTCACGTTTCATGCAGTGTGACAGCTGATAATGATATTGGATAGCTTAATGTGATGAGGATGAATTAGTGATGTTGCTGAATTAGAGAAGATAAAAAATCAAATATACAACAAAAAAAAATGAAAAGGGGGGGGGATGGGTATTGGGGTGAAAATCTGTGGAAAGTGTTGCTTCCATTGTGTAGGAAAGCAGGCGTGATGCAGTATTTGTTCTGCAAATATATGAATCTGATTCAAGAATTACTGGCAGATAGAATGTGTTCCTATTATCTGTGTTATGCAATATCAGGATCACAGTTCAATTATTGGGTGAGGCTGAAAAAAAATGCTACTGAGAGGATTTTGTGAAGAGTTGCATAAGATGGATGGGAAAAGTGCTGACTGTCTCCTTCCTGAACTCGGTCTATATAAGTATCCAAGCCATCATGCCAAGCCAAAATCTGTAACTGAAAGAAAATAACATGGTCATCCCACTTATAGCTCCAATAGTGTTTAATGGGAGATTAGAATTGGTCAATGGGTCTGTAATTGATTGAATTTCCTGTCAGTAAATGAAATATAATATTGGTTGTGTAGATGGTATTGAATGGCTGTTCTAAGGTATTGATGTGGGGGCTTTATGTATCAGAGTTGCTGTCAAGAGCATTATACAATTGTCATTAAGCCTTGGGTACTTTGTATAATTAATTTTGTGGATACTGTGTGGAACTGTCATATTTTTATGGTTTTATATTGTCTAATGGGGAAGACAGTATGGTTTTATCTTTGCAAGAGGGAGTGGGGGGTGGGGGGCTGCATGTGTTTAGGATTGACTATAAACATGCACATGTCAGTATCGTTTTAGCTATAGAACTTAGTATGCTTATCAGAAAAAAAAGCAATATTACTTTAAGTTTAGTGTCATATAGACACCTGTATATTAGATGTCAAAACTGTATGTATCATTAGATAAAGTGCAGGGCTCGACATTAACTTTTTTCCCTACTTGTCCATTCGGACAAGTGACCAAGACATTTACTTGTCCGAACTTCAACTTCACTTGTCTGAAAAATTTTCAATAAAGATCTAATACTGTACTGAAAAACTAAAAATAAAGTCCATTATATGTGCATGATGTTATTTATAAATACAACAAACACATAAAACAAAATTTTATCTAGACTTTCTGTCCTGACAACATAAATGCTGTCAACATAAAACAGAATCCAAACTTCGTCAGTTCCATTCTTTGCAGTAGTATGCAATTAGTGAACTTCGATCCCGATCGAGTGTACTCAATTACATTGCGATCTATATTGGGATCAAAGTTCGGTTTTTATGTACTGTTTCCATCTTAAAGTTCTTTTAAATATTTAGAGACTTCTTTACATAAAAATGCACTTGTCCAATCGGACAAGTGCCCAGCAATATTCACTTGTCCGTATTTTTTTTTCACTGGTACTGGACAAGCGGACAAGCGTTAATGTCGAGCCCTGAAGTGCCCACTTTGAAGAGTATGTGAAATCTAATATTTCATTTTCTGCAATGTTTTAGTTTGGAAATTGTTTTGCTCATTTTGAAGACAAAAACCAATTGAGTATTCCTATTGTACAAAGAAGAATTGGACAATAAAGAAGAATTTTGGATAAGATTAATGAAAGAGCAGTCTGTTAGGTTTGATATAAACATCTTAGACTGTTTATTTAGGGATTTAGAGGGCTTTTGTCATTTTAGCCTGTCAAAGTCTGTATTCAGAAGGAACTCTTTGTGTTTAGAAATGTCATCTGGGGTACACGTTTATCAGGGTTCAGATGTTTACAAATACACCGGTTGACTGCCCTCGCCTCTTAAGTCCTGCCTTATAATGCATTGTAGGGGCCCCTTATTATCTTTTGACATCAATATTCTATACGTGGGATTTATTTTGTTCATTTGTAAAAGATCGGGATTCCGGTCAGAGCGATTACATTATTTACTACTGGCAAGGTTCCGCACTTGGAGCATTAGACGTATGTTTCAAGTAGCTTCCTTTGTTGGATTGGGTGATTCGTCATCCAGTGTTCATCGTATTAAAAGTTCTTTATATCTACCTGTGGGGTTTTTGTTCTATTTCACCTGTAAATCTACGTCAGTATATATTTAGTTGGATCAGATAACAGTTCATTTTAAAGGTGCTTTTTTGGATATAGCGACATGGTTTACGGGTTTATTGTACAATCTGATTGAAATATTTTGTAAACCTGTCTTCTGTGTAACGCTTACATGATTTGTTGAGAATGTACGTGGGCTACACCCATACATAGTTGGTACATGTAAAATAAAAAAAAAAATATGTCAAAAGTAGTAATACTTCTGTGGTATGGAACTTTTAGAAAAGAAATTTTTTTGAATGAAATCTTAGATCCTAGCTCTTTTCTCCTTTTATAAGAAACTTGTTTTGAAGGAAATAGTGAAGATTTTCACAAATGTAAAACATACTTTTTACAAAGCAAATAGTTAAGACACATCTGTCAAGAGAGATCATACTAATTAATACTTAGTAAATATTCATAACAATCAATTTTGTTAATAAATTCAGTACATGATATTTATTTGGATAAAGTAATTTATTGTCCCCTATATTGTTAAATTCAGAACTGGAAAGATATTAAGTCAAATGAATGCAGTATATTCCAGGTATTCATGTATATTGATATTTATTTGAATCAACCAGTATAATTAGTGATTATTAAAAGATTATATTAATTCAATCTGAATGTTTACAATTCCATGCTGGTGGAAAAATTCAGTACATTCAACAAGAACGTTGTTTTTGTCCGCTGTTCACCTGTCCTGTTTCACCTAGTTTGTTTCCTTTGTCACTTGTTGCTATTTTTGGTGACAGGGACATTAACACGGGCATGGGGAATCTGAAGGGGGTAAATCTAGGTTACGTTATCTTTAGCGGTACATTATTATAGATGAAGGCTATCATGAAGAATAAATATTTTGTTGAGATAACACCTAGCACCTTGGGGGGCTGTCCATACACAAAGAGGTTAGATTGGTAAGCTAGATTTCGACCAAATTTTGCCAGTGGCTGGATTATTACTGAATTTGGACATTCACCCAAATGCACCTGGAGTGACAAAACTAAATAAAGTTGATTGTCTACTACACATGTAGGTCGTGGGTATATGTATATGTACATATATGCATCATGTTATTTATAATTGCCACTTCAAGTCCCTAAGGATTGCAGCATTTTTGATTTGATGAATGATTAGAGCTCTTTCAATGTATTCATTTATTTGTTGCTTGTCAGAAAGTGTTAGGATTGTCACTGTTTTAAAAAGGTGACGTATTTGGGTGATTTTATTTATTGAAAAATCTTAAGAGACTTGATTCATGGACCAAAATTTTATCTTGCAAAACTTCTTTTGTGTGTGTGTGTTTGGGGGGGGGGGGGGGGTATTCTGAGATAGCAATGTTTTTTTCATACAACAAATCTCAAATCTACATATTTAGCCTATACATATTCTGCTAGACTTTTCCAACTGAAGAAATTTACTTAAGTTCTAATGAAAAAAATTTGAATTCAAACATATGAAATTATGAATCCATACAAGGAAAGTTTAGTATAGGTGTGGGCAATTTTGGCAAGCTCTGACAATTTCAACTCTTTTGAAGGCTTAGGACTAATCACATCTTGATTAAAGTGATTCATTTATATACAAAAGCTCTGTTTGGTGCCAACAAACTTGAGAGCACACCAAATTAGTTCCCTTTGGAGGTTTGAACTGTTTTATTGACAAGTGCAAATAACGACAGTGTACTTAAGTCTCTTGCAGCATGTTATGTAATACTAAATTACAAGCCCAGGGTCCGATATCTCAATAGAGTTTCTGTTTCCCTTCACTTATCAGACAAAGGTGAAGTTTTAGTGTCAGATACTAAAAGTTTCATTTGGGAGGTTAATTTGTGAATGTACAATATTTTTTTTCATTCTGGTGTGTTCATTTTTACACCCTTTTTGAACATATCATTTTGTGGCCGAGTATTGATAAAAAAAATAAAAGAATCCTAAAAGAGGTTATATGGTAAAGACTATTATTATTGAATGTACTGTACACAAATGATCCCTTCTAGTCCCCCCCCCCCCCCCTTTCCCACTCCTACAAAAAAAAGAGAGAAAAACTGTTAGCAATTTATATTGGTGACTTATTTTCTTGAGTTTTTTTTTGTTTGTATTTTGTTTGTTTTTTTTTTCTTTTTTTTCCCCCTCAAAGTACAGTGAAGGGCACTTCTATGAATTCTGAACATTACACATACACTGAGAGTGGCAGTAATAAACGTATGTGTGTTATTCTTTTGATCTACATTTTCTCATGCTATGAGTATATATAGATAATAC